CATTTGTTAGTTGTCTCACATTGATTATATATGGAAAAATAAGTCCAACGCCTATGAGGCCCCTCTTTCTGCCACCAATTTGCTTTGGTATGGAAACTCGGTGCATTTCACATGCGACGACCACACCCTTTTATTTTCCGTTTCTTTATTTTTTTGAGTAAATTATAATTTTAGTCACGTATGTTTTACTACTTTAACTTTTTCGTCCTTTTCGAATTGCGTTTTTTATTTTTTTTCCCGTATGTTTTAAAAAAAGTTACACAAAGTCCTTTTCAATTTTCATATATAATGGACGAAATTAGAACATTTTTTTGCAAAACATAAAGGACCTTTTTATTGCGAAATGACATTTTTGTAACTTTTTATACAAACATATGGGACGGAAATAAAAAGCACAATTCGAAGAGAACGAAAAAATTAAAGTAGTAAAACATACATAACTAAAATTATAATTTACTTTTTTTTTTCTGTGAGAATGCGAGAAAATTATATGTTGTATATTCACAAAAATATGTACATGTACATGTTGTATAGATATATTGGCATTAACATAGATTGAGCCTAACCCTCGCCTACAATACAATAATACACTTTATTAACTAACAGATTAAATTGATTTCTCACTTCTTATATTAATTTTGTACATAAATAATAATAATAATAATAATAATAATAATAATAATAATAATAATAATAATAATAATAAATAAATAAATAAATAAATAAATAAATAGCATTGCGAAATGTGATTTACATTTGAACGCCAAAATTTCTGCCATTTTTGTGTCGGTGTCCAGTCCTCAACCACATAGTGTGTTGATAATTAAAGTGTGCTGTGTTGATATTTAAAAAGTATAGAAATGCTCCATTATTCACGGTGGACACATGTTAATATGTCCACTGCGTAGTTGGCATACACTCATTGGCGATGTTAATATGTTTAAAAAAATACATCACCAATGAGTGCATGTCACCTACGCGGTGGACATATTAACATGTGCCCACCGTGGGTAGGTGAGCATTTCTCTTAAAAAGTATGTCGGGTTCTCTAACGTAATTACTAATTAAAAGTAGGCAAAATTGCATCAAAATGCACCACCTTCTAACTTTTTGCAATTTAATCATCACCTTTCAAAGTTTGCAACTAAGTACACCAACTTTAGACATTTGGCAAATCGAAGCATGTCAAACGGAAACTGACACCTGCTTTCTTACGTGGTATCGTCGGAAAATCACGTGGAAATCGAAAATACACGTGGAAGTCCAAAAATAACAAATAAAAAATTAAAATGCCACAAAATCAGTCTACCTGACAGATTTGCTAAAATAAATCAAAATTAAGTAGCTCCTCAGCTCTAAATTCAAAATCAGTCGAACAATGTAGAACCCTAAATTGCAAAAGTGTCGAACAATTTGAACCATGTGGGGAGATTTATCAATCTTGATGGTTCTGTAGATTATTTTGGAGGTGAGTTATTTTGGCCACAAGAGAACATTTTGAATTAATCGGCATTTTTTCAATTTAAGGTTCATATGTGTTCGACTGATTTTGAATTTAGGGCTGATGAGCTACTTAATTTTGATTTTATTTTAGCAAATCTGCCAAATAGACTGATTTTGTGGCATTTTAATTTTTTGTTTGGTATTTTTGGACTTCCACGTGTGTTTCCGATTTCCACGTGAATTTCTGACATTGCCACGAAAGAAAGCTGGTGTCGATTTCTGTTTAGCATGCTTCGATTTGTCAAATGTCTAAAACTGGTGTACTTAGTTGCAAAATTTGAAATGTGGTGATTAAATTGCAAAAAGTTAAAAGGTGGTGCATTTTAATGCAATTTTGCCTTAAAAGTATCCAAACGAAATAAATTATGTGAGACCATTTCATAATAGGCCCCCACCTAGAATTGCAAACGAGCCGAACCACCATTGGCCTTATCGAGTATGATTGTTTTTTTTTTTTAGCTGTGTAAGAGATTGGAGAAAAACGGGTGCGGTCCCACTAACATGAAGCGCACCATGAACGGAGAAAAACTCATATGAAGACCAAGTAGGGTTCCATCCCAAAACCAATTGGTGGAAGGAGGAGTAGCCCATTAGACTTATAAGGTGGGTCTATTTTTCATGTATGAACGATGTGAGACAACTCACAATTG